CCTGCAACCTTGCAGGGGGCGATCTCGCACCTGTCAACAGCTTTCAACTTGCTAAACCGACGAGGACCATACGATGCGACAGCATCAACCGGCAATCCGTGCGAGTGTTCAGCCATTCGTGGCTATGGGTCGGCAGGGTCACACTGAGCGGGGTGCTGTACCTCTTACGTACGCTAAACTAGTAGATCTAAGTTCGTACTTGGAGCGGACCGCTAGCAACACCATCAGTCCGATTTCCCGAATAACACTGCTCCGGGACTGGAGTATTTTCTGTCTGCTGTGGAGCACGAGCATGCATGGAGAGCTTTGGAGAGCTTTGGCTGGACGATCTTCAGGACCCTGATCAAGTTCGGAGCCCATTCAGAGGCCTTCCGAGCCCGTTCAGAGGCCTTCCGCTTCCTATGCCCGGCATGGACGGGCGAGTCCCTTCCACCTGTCGCCTACAAATCGCGAAGCTAGGGACGAAGACGTATCGAGGAGTCTGATCACCTGGGCAAATCACAACCCTCATGGACTGTGCAGGAGCACTAGAACTGAAAACGTTCTCTGAAACTGGTGTGAAGCTCTTTCCAAGACGTGACCCCTTCGCCAGGGTAAGCTTTGGCACCAGGGTTGGGTGCGATAGCAAGGTTTCAGGTGGGCTTACCCCAGACGCTGGAATGCTTATCTTAACTGGTGGACAACCGATTTCCGGCAAGCGCATTCCTTGGGAGGTCGTTTATGTAAACTCGTTTATGAAGCGCGCCACGATGTACAAAGTTTCGGCGCCACTTCGGAATAGTGTTGCTATTTAAGACGATCTTGTTATTTAATTTGTTTTGTCAACTGAATTGCGCTCTTCTGCGGTGTGCCCGTGTGGTGTGCGCATGGTTAGTTGGGATCGGCGGCATCATCACTTTAGGGACTGCACCATCGCAAAGGGTCTCCCTGACGCATTGCAGAACGAACTGGTACTTCCGGACCTCATTACCCCGTCCAATTTGTGGTGGCGGCTTCCGCCGCCCACCATTCATGGGTGAGTGTGGGTGTGTGAGGTTGTATGCCTTGAGGCCGTCAGCCGCATGATGTACAGGGAGGGCCTTGATGGTAATATCGCGGCCCTGTCTACATCAAATTGGTTGCGTGGTCATTTCGGGCTTTTTGGCCCGTCCAGTTGCTTTTGCGAACCGACCGCCCGCCAAATAGGTGCCCTGCAGGTGCCCTGCAACCACCCTTTCCTGTCAGTTCACGCTGCGCACTGAATGACGGTATGGTCGTACATAGGAATTGTTTCAGCTCACCTGTCAACAGAGGGGGGGTATAAAATCGATCTCTGGTGAGGGACTTGGCCTGCAGAGTAAATACAGACCAACCCGGTACTTAGCTTGAAGCCTTGTTTAGCCAGCTCTACACCGCCGCGCTTCGCCACTTGCGTTGGATTTGACAGGGAAGGAAAGCATGACGTAAGTCCCTTGAATGAATGATAATGTCAGGTTCTACATGGTTTGTGCACATCCGTGCCCCTGGATGTATAGTAGCTAGCTCGGGGAGGGGCTGGGGTCTAGGGCCACCTGGACCACCAGGGCTAGGCGTAACCCGAATGCATTAAACCATTGCGAATACGCTCAAATGATAGTAACCTTTTTGTGACTTCGCATACAGCCGGAGAAAATGAAACGTTGACTGTACATCGCGGCGGTCCCACGGAACAAGCAAAGCGAACATGGCAAGGAAAATGCACAGCCCAGTAGGCCATGATAATTATTATAATTTAATTTACTCGTATGAAAAACACCAGGCAGGGAGATGGAGAAGGGAGATATCGTAGGCGTTGTCGATGAAGGGCGAATGAACAAACGCAGGGTCATGGCTAGGCAGGGACCCTGCGGGGCCTTGGCCCAGTACCTCCCAGACCTACACTTATTATTCGTGTCGGTGGTAAGCTCCTCTGAGGCCTGTCATATTCCTTCTCCAACAAGCCGAATTCTGTTCTCTTACATGTCAGTAACAATTGACAGCTATATGTTGCCACCCCCCACTTGTCTCATTATGCAGGAAATTTGCTTGGGCTTCGGCTGCCTTGCTATTAGTCCTCGTGACGTCAATGCCCCCAAGCTCGACTGCGCTCAGTAAGTTGGGAGGGGAATTGTAGCAGCTGACCGCTGAAAAGGTCTCTCGAGTTGCTGGCGGTCGCGCTATGCGCGTATTTATAGCACCGTACTGTGTACCGGCTGCTACATTCCCCCCCCTTTGATGGGAACCGTCCCGGGCCCTTAGAGCCTCGTATACCGCCAGCCTGTGCCTACCTTCGCCTACCCTCGGGCAGTGGGGTGGCCAAGCCCACGTCGCGTCATGCCGCCCTTCATGCGCCTAGCCTTCAGGTTTTTCAGGCACAGAGACAATCCAGTCGGTTCGGCTACTTATATAGTTTTTGTGCGATATTCGCTCACTGAGTCGCCACACCCGAAATACCACTCGAACGTGATCGGTGGGGGTTGAACCCACGACTTCAGGATCGTGAATTTTCACGAGGTCTCGATACCAAATGTAGCAGCTGACCGCTGAAAAGGTCTCTCGAGTTGTTGGTGGTCGCGCTCTGCGCGTATTTATAGCACCGTACTGTGTACCGGCTGCTACAGGAATAGAGTGATGAGCAGCACAGCACACATACAGCACAGCCAACGATGCCAGCAGCAGTTGTCGCTGGGCGGCATCTGCCTCTCCAGAACCACTTTGCTTAACACGATTACAGCTTGCTTTGCAAAAATGGATGCAAGTGTTTTGTTTGTATAATGTATGTGGTCTTGTGGTCTATCCATCTGCTGCTGCATGTCTGTATTGTATGAATTCATTCCCCTCGTGCTCCCCACCTGTCGCTAATCCGCCGGCTTGCTCATGTGTATGCTTTTATGTGCAGATGCCATCGAGCTCGCGCCTGCTGCCCAGTCGATCTACGGCACAGACAACATCGGGGTAGCAAAGCCCTTCTTCGACCTCTCGGCGAAATGGATTTGGTACCATACCAACGGTGCTGGCAGCGGCAGTAATCGCACCTCTTCTGGACAGTCTATTGCGCCCCTGTTCATCAAGACCATAACTGTCTCAACCGCGGGAGGCACACAGGCCCTGCTGCACATTATTCCAGATGACGATGCCAATATCTATGTAAACGGTTTCTTCATTCAATCTGTAAACGCTGGCTGGACGTCTGGAACATATACCAACAGGCCTATCACCATCAACCTAGTCCAGGGCACCAACGTGCTTGCGATAAGCATCCGCAACTCTGGCGGCGGACCTGCAGCACTTCTTGCTTCACTTACAAGCATGGACGGCAGAACTGTTCTGGCTCGCACAGACAAGTCCTGGGAGGTGAATCTGCAGCTGGTATAATGCCGGATTATTATTAGCGCTACTGCCTGTAGGTCGTGGACTTGATTAGTACTATCGTCATTGTATCGTACCATGGGAGCCGGGCTGTCACGGCATAGTACCGGTCAGTGATGTAATTTTCACCTAACGGTAAGGTCTAACGGTCAACCACCTAGATCTGTTGCGTCTTGTTCACGCGATCTCGTTGCGTGACAGTTACAAATACTAACTGTTTGCCGGTTTTAAGTTGTGCACAACTAGTTGTGCACAACATCACGTGATGTTGTGGAGTGATTGCGCTGACGGCGTATGCTGGTGCACAATAGTTTGGTTTGAGGTAGGAGGCACAAGGCCCCTTATCCTAGCCTCTCCCAGGTGTGATTTATACAGCGGAGAGGGTGAGCCAACCTCTTTGTCATTTGGCTCTCGAAGCTAATCTTCGTGAGCATACAGACCAGGCATGCCCAAACTGTAGCAGCCGGTACACAGTACGGCGCTATAAATACGCGCAGAGCGCGACCGCCAGCAACTCGAGAGACCTTTTCAGCGGTCAGCTGCTACATTTGGTATCGAGACCTCGTGAAAATTCACGATCCTGAAGTCGTCGGTTCAACCCCCACCGATCACGTTCGGGTGGTATTCGGGTGTGGCGACTCAAAGAGCGAATATCGCACAAATTATAAAAGTAGCTGAACCGACTGGACTGTTTCTGTGCCTGAAAAATCTGAAGACGGCTAGGCGCATGTGAGCCGGCACATGACGTGACGTGGAGTAATTACCCACTGCCCGAGGGTAGGCGAAGGTAGGCACAGGCTGGTGGCATACGAGGCTCTAAGGGCCCGGGACGGTTCCCTTCAAAGGGGGGGGGATGTAGCAGCCGGTACACAGTACGGCGCTATAAATACGCGCAGAGCGCGACCGCCAGCAACTCGAGAGACCTTTTCAGCGGTCAGCTGCTACACAAACTGAGTCGGAGCATTGGCCCACAAATAATAAACTTTCGATCATAAAGTGTAAAAGCCAGTCGAGCACCGGCCCCACGAATTCGTGCACCGGGTACTTAGGTCACACATACACCAGCCCAGGCCGATCACTTCGGGGCGGGGGATGAGGATGCAAAGTGAGTGGGGTTTTAGGATGCACTCGGAAAGGCCGGGATGCGAAAGCAGACAGGGTGGCAGGAGCGGCGGCAGGCCTAGAGCTTCTTGTAGTAGCCTCTGATGGCTGGCCAGCCAGTCGTTTGGCCGTTTGTGGCCTAAAGAGTGGAAATTCAAATGTGCATTATGACGACCACTTGGCACGTATTATATATCAATCCAAGCACGAAAGACGGTTCGATACTGATACATACCAGCTCTTACAACTGCCCCCAATGCCAGGAAACAAAACAGGTCTGGCCATGCCAACCCTCGTGCCAGGAAGGTCATCATAAGTTGGGCAATTCCATCCATGCTGCACATGTCCTTTATCATTTTTACTTCATCATCCCCGCCGTATCCATAGTTGTCAAAGCAGCAAATGTAGATGCCCTTCATCTCTGCAGAAAGCAATGACGCCAGGCGTTGTGCTGCCTCCCTGCCGGTTATGTTCTCCGCTCCCTACTGGCCTGCTTCATAAATGTCAGAAGGAGATGCACATTCAGTACAGTTCTTAACAATTACGGCCCCAAGACTCTAATCCTAGGAAGTTATTGAAGAAATCATAGGGTGTTTCTGGTGAAGCAGCTGAGGGTGACCGGCCATACGGTGGCTGTAGTGGCTCGCCATTAGTGTGCAGTAGTCTGCAGCATAGGAAGCGCCGGCGTGTGTGTGTATGTGGAAGTGTTACGTGGGTGGGTGGAAACCAGCAGTGTGGATATGGACAGCTTGTTCAGGTGGCCGGACGCACAGCACATCCGTTTACACACAAGTTGAAGAAGGGAAAATGTATGGCGCCCCGGCATTGTCGACGACACAAAGTTTGTAGAACTGTGGTGCACTTTAGAGCGCGGTTGTGCAGTGAGTGGCGGGGATGTAGGCAGGTCTTTAGGCACCAAAACAAGTGGGCGGCTGTGGGGAATGCAAGTTGAGACCATTCTATCCTTAAAAAAATGCAGCGCACACTGCATGAGGGCGCTGTGAAACACGCCTGATGCACCAGCAACATGCAGCAATCGTTGCACGTCCCGATAACAGTGCACTGCTATCATCGGCCTGCCGCCCCAACCGAAGCTGCATGTGCCCTTCAACTGCCAGCCAGAAGAACGAAGGGCCGGCGTCAAACATGGATGCAACGGTAGTACCACCTATGTATCGGGGACTCATGGATTTGGTGCAGCAGCGGCAACACATGTTGCCGCAATGACACTCCTGCTTTGTGTGTCATTCTATAGATTGCCGCATCACGAGAAGGCTAACTGTTCAGTCAATAATGATTATGCTATGGTGGCTGCATGCTTGCGACGATCCAGACAGGTCAACACTGCTGTAGCAAGTCTGCCGACCTTTATTGTTTGAGATTTTCAATGACAAGTGTGTACTCCAAATGTGGCGGCATTCTTGTGCTTACACTCCTATGCCGTAAGGACTGCCCTGTGAATCAAACGGGGATCAGGTGGCTGCACCGGGCCGAGACTGCACCCAGCTTTGAAAAGGCGGCCCCCTCGTTGGGGCAGGGCCCCAGAACGAAGCGCCCAGGTGGGCCCCTGTAGCAAGCTACATTTCCCTTCGAATAGTTCAACAATTACTGTTAACAATAACTATTAATTTGTTAACAATTCGACTCAAGTTTCGTACATGTTCCGAGTTTCGTCACATGTCTCGAACTTGGCAGTTGTTCGTAAGCGAATCTAACAGGCTGGGGCCCCGGGCCCCACCGACATTATCCTTGTACGGCAGGACCGTGGTAGGGAATCCCCGGCAGGTAGGCCAAGATATAAGCTACCCCGGCGGGGTGCTCTGGCCAGACACTGAAGTATTACAATTACTAGGTGTTCAGAGTTCAAGACTCCGCTGCAGCCGTCTTTTTTTATTGTTTCGTACGTGACTATGTACGCTAGTGCTTGCCGCTGGGTTGGACTTCTTCCTGCCTCGGTGAGGACTGTCAACTCAACGCTTCCGCTTAACCAGTCGACCCGCCAGGTGAGCGACTGCTACAGCCCCGCCCTGAAGGATTGCCCATGTCCGTGTGGCCGTGTGTGTGTGTATGTGTGCGTGTGTGTGTGTGTGTAACGGACCAAACATAATATCTAGCCCGGCTGAAACGCGTTATTGGTAATATACTGCATTCTCTATTGCAAGGTACCTCGCCTGTAGCCAACAAAAAATTCGTATGAGCACAAACAAGTTTGGCTGCCTCCGTTGACCGAGGTCAAAGTCACATCAACGCCTCTCGGGCTAAATTTAATCTCAAAAGGTGCCACGTATCTCATAATTGAATTTTGACATGACAGGGTATGATAACTCGAACACCCAGCTTGTGTTACCACTTGCCTGCATGGGCATTCCGACTTGCCACCAGCAGGCCGACAAATTTGCTTTCATTTCTCTGTGAAATACGCAAGCTGCTCGTTTGTGCAATTAATTTAGCCAATGCTCGGGGCCTCCGAAGAGTTGCAGTGTGCCGTGCGGCTGTGGGGCGGATCGTGGAAGCCGCTGCGCTTCAGGGATAACCATCACAGACAGCACCGCAAAGTGCTGAGGGCTTTGGGGAAGTGTGTCGAGCTAGGCTTTCAGGGGGGGCCAAGTGCGGGTGAGCAGGCGCCCGAATGGGCAGGTCAATGCTTGAAGGGGCACCGTTGGCAGTGCTTACGGTGCTGTACAGTGCTGTACGGTGCTGTTTTCCGTGTGTGTTCAGGCCGTGGCACCAGACTGCAAAGCCAACAGGCTGAAGGCTTGCAAGCTGCGATTGTGTCTGCTGAGCATTGAGCAGCCGGCCTGGACCGCGGACTTGGTGGCCGAGCCCCTGCTGTGTGCCAGTAACGGCACCTCAGACTCATACGTTTACACCCATGTCAGTGGCAGGTCGCGGACCTCCCGACTACGTGTAACGGCCACTGACTCTTAGCCGTGTCTGCTAGGTTCCAGAGAGATACCATCTCCTCAACAGGTTATGAGCCCCAGCTTCCTGCCTCCCGCGCCTCCCGACAAGCATAGCTCCCACAGCATCACCACTGCTCCAACAAGCACAGCTCCCACCACGTTGACATTACCCTAGCTACCGGCCTGTACGGATGCAGGGGGGCCCCCGCCCTTTTCCCGGCTTCGAGGAAGCCGACACCAGACTTGTCCTGGTGGGGGCGTTGTTGTTTTGAGCTCTCCCGGGCCGCCCGGCAGGTCCTCTGCGGCGACTCTGGCTCAGATGTAGGCTGTAGGGTGTAGGTAGCGTGCGGACATTGACAAGGATAAGGATAAGGAAGTATATACTTATGTCGTTTCTGTAAATCAAATCACAGAGACAGGGTCAGATAAGGTGAGATGAGGTGAAGTTAGGTGAGATTCGGATACGAGTAGGATGTTGCTTTCTTTCTACCCACGTTCATATGCCTTTTCTGAAATGTCCTCGTCGTGAAATTGAATATGTCTTTCTTGGGCTTCTAGTAGCTGCTGCAAGCAGCGATGTAACTTGTGGGAACGGCCACGGGTAAGCCTAGATCGGATTATTCCTACACAATCGGATTATTCCTACACAATCGGATTATGCCTACGCAACAAGCCTGTGTGTTAACGGCGCGGACGACTTCACTTTTGGACACAGAAGCGTCATGTGTGACCCATGGGTCATGAGGGAACCCGTGCGACGCAGGGGCTAATAGCAGAGCAGTCGCACATATGGCGAGGATTTTCATTTCTATAAGCGATTCTGGCGGAGGCCAGGTAGGCAAAAGAAGTGGATTTCGCGCTTCTGTGTGGGTGGTTGTCCGCATCAGAATTGTCCGCATCAGAATGATCCATGATTACAAATGCGTTGATTCATGCCCTGCGGAGCATGATTAGCTGGAACTTTATTTTTTTACTGAAGCCTAGCTGCAGACAAATTTGAGGTAGGCAAGTAATTTGGCGCAATTTTACAAGTGGATTATTGAGCTCTGTGCGCGGCCAAGCAGGCGGCATTATTCTTTTCCAAGAACAAACTGACGTTGATGCCGCGGTGTCAAAGGAGAATCAGTTTCAGCACTGAATTGCGGTGTTGCTGACGTCGCGGAATCATGCAAAAGTGCACATTCCAAAATGGAACCCATAAAAGACATGGTCGCCATCCGGACCCTGTCTTTAAGAGTCAACGGAACCGAGGCGCAACCTTGCGCTGTCCGTCCCCACCCAACAAGTAAATCTCCACAATTTGTCTCCTAACTGTCTCCTAACAAGTCTGTTTAGATGCTAACTAAACTCTTTCTAACATCATATAAGCATTAAGTAGCTGTGTATCGTACGACGGCCCGGGGGTCCAAAATCTCTCGGACTGACGTCAACAAGTCCCTGCACGTAAAGGTTGTCCAGCGCGACTACCCTTCTTTTACACGCCAGAACGCTAAAACGTGAAGTCTTCTTCGTTGGCAGCTACACAAACATCAATAATCTCTTTCGTCAAGAAGTAAATAAGAAGCTTTGACTCCTCTCCGCAGAATATCTTTTTGAACGTCTGTACGCCGTTGCAAAAAGGCCAAAGCTGCGCCGTGTCGGCAGTCGACGTCGTGTTTGCCACCTATCCGTTTCGGCCACAGAAACCACAAACCCAACTCTGAAAACCTGCCGCAACCGGCCAAACGTTCTCTGCAGTCCAGTCTCCTAACCTCGCGCTGTCGCGTGTGTGGAGGGAACCGCCTTTCGCGTCACCACCCACAGCGCTGTGAGGGGACTGTGAGGTGTCCCGGACCCCAGTGAAGAGGGATCGAAGCTGTAGAGGAGTTAAAGGAAGATGGCGACCTATGAAGAGGTGGGCGGGCGGCGGCTGGTGCGACCTCCTGATCCCTTGGAGGCTGGTTCTGGTCTGTGGCCACGTGTGCGTCTGTCTGTATGTGTGTATGTGCATGTGTGCTGGGTAGTGGAGTTGTATTGGTCTGCCAAAGGACAACACCGTCGGGGGCAGGTGCGGCCTGCCGTACACCACCCGCATCACCTTTAGTGATGGACGGGTTGAATGATGTGGTCACGGAAATCGCACTTAGGGCGGCGACACCCCCACTCCCCTCGCTCACCCCCTCAACTCAACTCACCTCCCTCACCCCTCTTAGCGCCCCTCCCGCCCTCCCGCCCCCCCAGGCCCCCAGCGGGCCCCAGGGTCTCACTCAACCCCCGGGGGGCAGTACGGCACCCACTGGAGGCACGGCAGAGGACGAGAAGCAAAGCCGGCGCATCGCTGAGGGCGTCAACGAGGTGGGGGCTGGGGGGGCTGGGGGCTGGGGCCTGGGGGCTGGGGGGATTTGCGGGGCCACCGAAGGCACGGATGGGGCCTTCACGCCACCAGACTACCTGCCGGCTCGGCGGTGGGGTGTTGCGGCGGTTAGTGCTGAGTGAGGGGGAGAAGGGTGCGGCTGTGTTTCACCGCTGCCACCCACCGCACCGCACCGCACAGGAGCCCCTTCCCGACGTGTGTCCCTTTGCGCCGGAGCGCACGTAGGGTGGTTCGCCCGCCGCCCTCCACCCCCTGCAGTGCTGCCTGAGCGCCCCGCGTGGCGGCTGTACTTAACACGACGTTGCTCCCTCTCTCGTCCCGACAGCTCCAATCCCCCGCTTGCCGGCCCCTTGTACGGCGCTTGCCGGCCCCTTGTACGGCGCTTGTCGACCCCTTGTACGGCGCTTGTCGACCCCTTGTACGGCGCTTGTCGACCCCTTGTACGGCGCTTGTCGACCCCAAGGCAGTCGCTCCTTTCCCCAAGGCTGACTCCCCTCCCCTCTGTCCTCTGTACTTCATGTCGTACAAGTTCATTCCCCTCTTGACCTTCTCTCACCCCAACACCCCAAACCCCTCTGGCCCCCCTCTGCACATACATACATACATG